TAAACTTACTGAATTTTGTTAACAATGTCACCATAATAAAAACAAACAAACAAACAAATAAATAAATAAATATCTTCATTAAAAAAAAAGAAACTTACACTTGGTCTACAGCTCTTTTTATTTAATCAGAAATAAATCTTGGTTACTTTTCATACATAAGATAACACAGTTTTCTAGTGTTTCTTGTACCAAGGTCCTTGTTATTCTTGAGTGTCTGCAAATTCTAAGAGAATATTTAAATTCTAAGTTTTCAACGATGGTCTAAAAAATTATTTAAAACCTAAGGCAAAATTTGTTACGCAGTGATATTTACAATTTCTAAGATTTTAGTTCCTTAAATGAGAGTTTTTCAAATTAGGTCCTTGGATATATTCTAAGGCATAGTGGTTAAGAACATGGACTCTGGAGTTAAGAGTATTTGGGTTCAAATGTAGGCATTGCCTAAATGTGTGACCTTGGGCAAGTCATTTAAATTTTATGAGCTTCCATTCATCTATAAAATGGAGATGGAAATTATAGTAGTATCTATCTCATGGGGGTGCTCTGAGGATTAAATGCTTTTAGAACGATGGTGACACATAATAAGTGCTCAATAAGTATTAACTATCATTGTTTTTGGAAATTTGTACAACAGTTAGGATTGTGATTGTGCCCCCTCCATTCATATGTTAAAGCCATAACCCCAATGTGATGAGATTTGGGGGGCGGGCGTTTGGGAGGTAATTTTATTTAGATGAGGTCATGAGGTTGGGGTCCTCATGATGGAATTAGCACTCTTATTATAAAAACAGGCACGAGAGAGCTTGCTCTCCTTCTTTCTCTGTCATGTGAAGACACAGCAAAAAGATGGCTGTCTATAAGCCAAGAAGAGAGTTCTCACCAGGAACCAGATTTTTTGGCACCGTGATTTTAGACTTCCCAGTCTTCCAATCCAGAAAAACTAAGTTTCTGTTGTTTAAATCACTCAGTCTACAGTATTTTGTTATGGCATCCTGAACTGACTAATCCAGATTAATTCTTTTTAGAGGCTTTGGAGGAGAGCTTGTTTCCTTGCCTCTTTCCAATTTCTAAAGGCCACCTGCATTCCTTGGCTTGTGGTTCCTTCCCCAGCTCCCCAAGCCAGCAACACAGCATCAGGTTCAAATCTCACTCTGGACTTTTCTGCCTTCCTCTTCTACTTTTAAAAACCCCTATGACATTGGGTCCACCTGGATAATCCATAATAATCTTATTTTAAGGGCAGCTGATTAGCAACCTTAATCTCATCTGCAACCTTAATTCCCCCTTGTCACGTAACAACATATTCACAGGTGCTTGGAATTAGGATGTGAACATCTTTCGGGAGATATTATTTTGACCTTAAAGACATTTGACCTTAAAGATATTATGTTGACCTTAAAGACATTTGCACCTTAAAGACATTTGTTGTTTACTGAAGAAATCTGGAAATATGGGCTTCTAATGTTTATTTACCAGGTTAACTATATTGTCAAGAACTCATACTCTTTATTTCTTAGTTAGCTTTTCATATTCATATTTGTCACTTCATGGTCAAACATGATTGCTACATTTCCAGGCATCGGCAACATGATCAAGAAAGGAAAAAGAGGAGGAGCAGTGGCAGTCCCTTCTCCTCTCAGGTCTTCCCCTTTTAGCAGAAAGCAAAAGATTTTCCCCAGAATTCCTCCAGCAATCTTACCCTAATTAGGTCATATGGCCATCTCTAGCTGTAAGTGAATCTAGAAGAGTGAGCATCTGGCAAAGGAGAATGAGATTGTTCTGCTTGGCTTAGACAATTTGCGATTTATTGGTGGGGCTGGGCACATTGCTTCCCCAGACAAAATCAAAGTTCTTTTAGGAAAAGAGAACTGAAGTGTGTATATGGGGGGTGGAGGTGCGGGTAGGGTGGGTTGGCAGAGGGAGGTGGCTATTATCTGCAGGCAAATGACATTGACTATTACAGTCTTTGAGAATTTTTTTCTGTTTAAAGAAATGTTTTCATTTGAGAAGCTATGCAGTATTTCTAGAAGTACTTAGTTGTAAAATTAGATTCTTCTGTACTGAATTAGATTAAGAAAACTTCAGAAGACTACTTAAATAAACGTATTATTTTAAAAACTTGCACGTGTAATTTATGATTACTATAGAAAAGTTAGACAGTCTTTTCAGTACATATTTTCTCATCCAACTGATCATGTAGCTGATGTCTGAGACCAATGAGGTTGAAGTTCAATGAGGCTAAAAACTTGCTCCTTTTGGCATACCTATGATATCTATAATAGTGTCAATTCAAAACTGTGCTTCATTACCAGAACTTTAATTTGTTCCTGTTGTCTATTCACATTTTCTAAAATATTAAAGACAACCTATACTAAAATTTCCAAATAATTACATAAACAAACTGCAATGTACTGTCAATAATGGCTATGCTACTGAAACAGCAATGTTAGCTGGCAGATGATATAATGTTGAGAAATCATAAGTATTTGTCAATCAGTGTGTGAAAGTCCAGTTTAGACATATGCATGGCAGATTATTTACTTAATTAATTCAATAAATATTTATTATGTGCCTGGCACTATTCTAGGAACTGAGAATACAGCAGAAAAGAGAAACAAGAGGAGGTTCTGACTTTATGCTCTTCATAAATCTAGTTGGAGTAATCTCAAAAAAAGCACAAATGAAAACTGAAGATACTTTTTATCTATCATATTAGCAATAGTGGGACACACCGATATGCTGTCTATGCTCTTTCTGAAGATAAATGTAACTGTGTGTAAATTAAGATGTCTATACACTTTAACCCAAGGAGTTCATGTTTAGGGATCTGCTATAATTAAAGAACCAGAAATGCAGACCAAGATTTACATTCAATAGGTCTGATCGCGACATTTCCTATACAAATGGGAAATCAGAAATAACTTAGTCAGCAAAGGAGAAACGGTTAAATAACTTCAAACATATCCATTAGGACTATTGTAAATCTATTAGAATGATGTTTCTGAAGCATTTAGTGCCCTTGGAAAATACTCATGCTACACTGTTAAGAAGGTAGAAATTCCAATGAAAAACTATACATCTGAAATATTAATAATGTTATTGCTTGGAGGTCCAAAGGTACAAACTTTTAAAAGTTATCGAAGGGGATCAAAAGGTACAAACTTCCAGTTATAAAGAAAATAAGACATGGGGATTGGCATGGTATAATGTACAGCATGGTGAGTATAGTTAAGAATACTGTATGGCATATTTGAAAGTTGCTAAGAGAGTAGGTCTTAAAAGTTCTCATCATAAGAAAAAAATTTTTTATAACTATATATGGTGATGGATATTCACTAAACTCATTGTGGTGGTCATTCTGTAATCTATACAAATATCAAATTATGTTGTATACCTGATACCAATGTAATGCTATATGTCAATTATAACTCAATAAAAAAAGAAAAAGAAAAGGAAAGGAAAGGAAAAAAAAAGAAAAAAGAAAAAAAAAAAAAAACCAACTTGTAGGTCTGGAAGTTGCCAAGAGGGCTGGGGCGTCCAGCAGGGCTTCCTAGGTTGTTTATCTTCAACTCCTTGAGAACAAGAAATGCATGTTAGGATAGGCTATTTTCTTTTAGATGTAGTCAAAGCACCCCCTAATTTGCTGAATTTTCAAAAAGTACTAGAACTTTAGAAGGGAGGAATTTCTCCATTACTATGACAAAATCTATGCTTTCTAGCAAAGCAAAGGAAAAAAACACCCAGAATGTTAACAGAATTTATCTCTAGGGAGTGGAAGTACAGGAGATTCTTTTTTTACCCTCTGCTTCTCTGTATTTTATAGATTTTTAGGAAAGAGAAAATATTCTTATAATGAAAAGCTTTATTTTAACCAATCTATACCATGAGCTTAAAAAGTCTCCATCTGCCGATTTAACAAAATAACAAAAAGCATGAGGCTCCCTTGACTATGTTAAATCCAAAAATAAAAAATATTATTGCTGATTTGCATGGTTATGGGCTACTTTTTAATTTTCCAAGTTTTTATAACAAGCCAATTTTTTATAATTAGAAAAAATACATTCTTTTAAAAGAGTAGTAATATTCATTGGGAGACAATAAGCTACATATGTGCCCCTTGGATGTTTTATGCAATTCATTAAAAACACAGCCTAAGCTAGTTTTGGCTACTCTAAGAAACAATATGATTTTGTTGTTAAGTATATATATACATATATATATAGTATGAAACATCAATATAAAATTTGAAAAAATATTCTATTCATCCAGTATTTTAAAACAAATTCAATTTAGAGGCTTAAAAAGTTACAGGATCATATATCTTTAAATGTAGATGTGTTAGAACAATTGCTTGACTTTGTACCTGGAACTGCTATCTGTACACCAAGTAAAACATTAACTTTTTTATTTTTTGCAGCAACAAGAAGTAAAAGTAGCTTACCAGCAATTCTGAGAGCTTACAAAAACAGCTCAAAAGGAAAATGAAGCTCCCTCTTTTCATAGTAGATGCATTCACAGCAAAGCCATTTCATGGGAATCCTGCTGCTGTTTGTCTCCTAGAAAATGTAAGTATTGGTTTGGAAGGCAGTGCCTGGAATTCTAGATTCCTGTAGTACCAAATATTTCTTTTAAAAAAATCAGACCTACTTATTTGTTTACCTCTTTGATTTGTGTTATTTGTCGAATGATATCAGCAATGCTTGGGTTTGTAAGTTGATTTTGACAAACCTATATAGTGAGAATGCGAGAAATCTAGAGAAATGAAGATTCATGTATAGAAGGACCAGAGCTCCCTGTTAGCCATCAGGTTTTCATTTAGTTAGCATCATATGTGGAGGAGAATAAATTAGATGAGTTTTATGTGACTGGACATGGCTAATATTACATTTAGCATAAAAGATTCTGCTGGATATCTTTAACCTTACCTATAGGTCAGACAATTAGAATTTCTTTTCAGGACCAAGAAAATGAGACATTTTACAAGGAATTAAATAATTAAGTAGAAAAACAGGAAGAATTAAGTTATAATATAGGGAGAACATGGTTTACTGAAAGTTTCATTTTAATAATAGGTGTCTGATTAGGATAAGTTTTAACAGAACAGTTAAACATTCCTTGACCTTAAGTGCTTTGTATTGGTCCCTAGGTTTTAGGAAACAAGGTATCCTTCCACTCAGAACAATTAGTGCAAGAGTAGATTATCTGAGAATTACTTCAGGAACACGGTAAGTCTTAAGGTCGGCAAAGTGTGCTTTGGGGCCTTTGAGTGCAGTGAATATCAACCTGGCCTGCACATTAAAATCATCTAAGAGCTTTAAAACTTTCTATGCTCAGGCTGCATCTCCCATGAGGTAGGAGGGCGCAACAAAGGAACAATGGATATCACCAGTACTTCTACTCGGGAGAAAGTCTCCCCTCTGGCCTTTTCCCCGAAGCCTGATAACTCAGTATGTCCCTGGTGCCTCACAAGCAGAGCCCTTGTGCTGGAGCTCAGAGCAAGCAAGTCCGTCACTGCAAAAGTCTGGCTGCGGTCATGGTCCCTTTAAGAGGAACATCTGCACCTGCCAGCTGCAGCTGCTGTAGCTTCTGTCTCACTCAGCCCGTGTGGGACTGGGCAGCTTCGCATCTTTGCCCCATCTTACCATTCCAAGGTGATTTTTTATTTCTCTCCCTAGTTGTAGGTTTCTGTTCGTCCAAATCCCAGGCAACTTTGCTTACTGTTTGCTCCATGGTTTCATCACAATTTTGGTGTGGTCGCAAGAGATGTACAAATCCTCTACCCTCTACACCAGCAGTCCCCAACCTTTTTGGCACCAGAGACAAGTGCTCCTATGAGAATCTAATGCCCGATGATCTGAGGTGGAGCTGAGGCGGTGATGCTAGTGCTGGGGAGTGGCTGCAAATACAGATGAAGCTTAGTTCGCTCACCCATCGCTCACCTCCTGCTGTGTGGCCTGGTTCCTAACAGGCCACCACCTGGTTCCATGGCCCGGGGCTTTGGGACCCCTGCTGTACGCCATCTTGATTAGTCCACCAGAGAAGATTCTTTAGGACATTGAAGGGTTTCCCTTTGCCCAGTGTTTGAAGAAAGAGCAATGCAAAGGAAGAGGTGTTAATGTAGGAATATCTACTTCCCAAGTATCCTCACTGGCTTTTAGAATAGAACCCTCAGCTTTGGGAACAGTGATTTCAGACAAATTCAGCCAAATTCTGTGCTAATTACTTTTCATATGTTATTTCATTTCACCTTCACAACCACTCTATGAGTAGGTCTTATTATTATCCCCATTTTACAGATGGGGAATCAGAGGCAGAGGGAGGTTAAGTAATTTGCCCAGGGTCACATACTCCTAAGAGGCTGACTTCAGGATCCCACCTCAGGTCTGTCTCACTGCAAAGCCCATGCTCTTAACCACCGTACTCACTATTAAACTACACGTTCTCTCCTTTTATGTGCTCTCATGGCACTCCTTACTTTACAGTTGGTAACAAGCACCACTCTTATAATTCATTCAATGCCAGTCTTCCTCATTAGACTGCACATTCTTTGAGATCTTAATCCATTCTGACTTGTTCCAACACACTTGGCTTAGCACATGGTAGACACTAAATAAATATCTGTTGAGTGGGAATGAAAATATAATCAATTAGATTATGGCAAAATCTCCTAAGAGTTCTAGTTAACTAACAGCTATTGATTTTATGTTCTCATGGTGGGCTGGGGTGGGTGGGGTTCGCAAAGTGAGTATGAGCTTTGGGTTCTATGATGGAACTGGAGAGACTAAGCATCCATAAGAACCATTAGGAACAACTAAAGATGGCCTATAGTTTGAGTACTGCATTGTGAGGACATAGCTTCACAGTAAGAAATCCAATTACCTCAAGAGGAATCTCTCGTTTCTTCCTGGATGATTTAGAACTTTCTACATCCAACTGCTTTTCTTTTGCTGGAATCTATCTGCAGCAGAGGGACAAATGAACAAAGACTGAGATGATAACAAAACTTTCATATTTAGGCTGTCATATTTCTAAACTGCCACAAGATGGGAGTATTTTAAAACTTTACTCTGATTTTCTGATCATTAATTTTTTGTGGGCCATATGGTGATAGAAGCTTAGGGTCCCATAGCAGTACTCTGGAACTGAAAAAAAAACCCCAAACATGGCCCTATTTTTGTGGTTGGAAATTTGACTCATGTGAGATTGCCAAAGAGGAATGGATATTAATAACTGTTGGTTTGTAACTATAATATGCTGCATTTGAAAATAAGCTTGTAGTGTAAAATGGAAAAATTACTGGAACCAAAGTTCAGTATTTTGAGTGAAAGCAGCCTCTTTCTTTTGTGTCTAAAGCTCTCAAAGTTGACCTAATATTAGCCTTCTCATGGTTCACCATTATTTTGATCTTTGGTTCCAGTGTAGAAATTCAGCTGCCTGTGGTACATATTGAGGGCCACTACTATCACACTGTCTACATTATGTCTGGTCCCTCAGACAAATAGCAGGTGCATTTTAAGTGTCCTGGGACAGAAATTACAGTTATAGAAATTCAAATTGCAATTGGTGCAATACATGAAGGTAGAGAGGATTAAAGACTGATAGTCAATGAAGTGTGTGTTTAGCTGATGTGCAAAAAGGCCCATTTACAAGAAGGAAATCTATTATCAATAGATTGTGAGTTTGGCTACAATGTGGATGCTTTAATGCTTTAAGAGACTCTTGTCCTAAAGGTTGAGGGAAGCAATAGACAAAGAAAGGAAGGATAAGGATAGGGGGAGTTTGGCCATATCAGATAAAGGACTGGCAGGCACTGCAAATTCCTGCAGCAAAGGAGGTAAACCCAGGAAGAACAGCACAGGCTTTTCTTTGTCACCCCTTCAATCATCATTGAGCCCTGTGATGGCAAATTCTGCACTAGGGAATTAAATGGCTTCCAGTTTCTCTCAGGTGTTGTATGCACAGGCATGTGGGCTAATTTCCACAGAGAACATTCTACAGGCCATGGGAAGTACTTGGGTTGAATTCTTTTTTTAAAATATATTTTCTTTTTCAATTATAGTTGGCATACAATATTATATTAGTTTCAGATGTACAACATAGTGATTAGATATCTATATAACTCATTAAATGATCACCCCAATAAATCTAGTACCCCCTGACATCACACATAGTTATTACAATCTTATTGACTAACATCCTTATGCTATACTTTACATCTCCATGACTATTTTGTAACTACCAATTTGTACTTCTTAATCCCTTTCCCCTTTTTCGCCAACTCCTCCCAACCCCTCTCCAATCTAGCAACTCTCAAAATGTTCTCTGTATCTATGAGTTTGTCAGGGTATTTTTGTTGTTGTTGTTCTATAGATTCCACATGTATGTGAAATCATATGGCATTTGTCTTTATCTGACTTACTTCACTCGGTACAATACCATCTAGATCCATCATGCAATATCTGTTTCTATTCCTTTACTTTTAGTCTGTGTGTGTCTTTTAATCTGAAGTGAGTCTCTCATAGGCAGACAATATAAGGGTCTTTTTTTTTTAAATAGCAGTCTATTTTCATTCTTGTATTTATTTATTTTTATTATTTATTTATCTATCTATCTATCTATCTATTTTATTTATTTTTTTATGCCTACAGCAGCTGGCCTTCCTAGGTGGTCTCCCATCCAAGTACTAACCAGGCCCGACCCTGCTTAGCTTCTGAGATCAGATGGGATCGGGCGTGTTCAGGGTGGCATGGCCATAGACTGGGTCTTGTTTTCTTATCCATTCAGCTACCCTATCTTTTGACTGGAGCATTTAATTATTTTTTTATTTGAAGTGCATGTTGGTAGATATGTAGTTATTGCCATTCTTTATTCATATTTTTGATACATATTTTTTCTTCTTCTTAAAGAAATCCCTCCAACATTTCCTGTAATACTGGCTTGGTGGTGATGAACTCTTTTAGGTTTTTCTTCTCTAGTAAGCTCTTTATCTGTCCAACTCTAAATGATAGCTTTGCTGGGTAGAGTAATTTTGGTTATAGATCCTGGGTATTCATCACTTTGAATATATTGTGCCAAGCCCTTCTGGCTTGCAGTTTCTTTTGAGAAATCAGCTGCAAATCTTATGGGAGCTCTCTTGTAGGTAACTAATTGCTTTTCTCTTGAGGCTTTTAAGATTCTCTCTTTGTAGTTAACCTTTGGCATTTTAATTATGAGATGTCTTGGTGTGGGCCTCTTTGGGTTCATCTCCGATCTTCCTGGGGTTGAATGCTTATTTCCCACAGATACCCACATGTGTGACAGGTACTTATTCCACTTCATTCTTACCATCCTAATTCTCCTTACCTCAGCTCACAGAATCCTAGAATGTCAAAGATTTAACAGAAGGAGAACAGATATGAGATCAAGTGATTTGCCCAAGAAACATCCCCAATACAAAGCTCTGCCCACATTTTCCTGTTCAATTCACCAAAATTTGCCGTTTTCCTTGGTCAACCTCAAGGCCTCATCTTTAAAGGGCTAGTGAATTTATTGTCAAAATCTGTGTACCTCAGTTATATACTGTATAAAAATCTATCTCAAATACATACATATGTACTCTCTAGTGTTGCTCACTGTTGCTTTCTGTGTCTGTCTTGATTCCCCACCAAGACGTTAAGCCCTTTAAACAAAGGGCTTCTTGAACTTGAATGTGTATAAAGATCATCTGGTTGAAATGAAGATTCTGATTCAGAAGGTCTGGTGTGGGGCCTGAGAGTCTGCATTTCTAACAAATTCTCTTAGTATTGGTACTGATGCTATTGGTCCAGCACAGCACTCAGTAATTGATGGCTGTTTTCCCTCAGAAATGCTGCAGGAGTCTATTTTATTTAATGGACATTGGTTTTCCTGTCTGCAGCATGTTAAAGGGATAATAATAGTTTGTCTCTGTTATGGGGAGGCAGTGTAGTGTGGCAGGTTAAAGCCCCAGGCTTTGAGCCATTCAAAATAAAATGCTAACGTTTATCAAGTACTTACTATGTGTTGGGCACTGTGATCAGCATATGTATTATTTGATTTAATCTTTTGAAAGAAAATGAAGTTTTGTTAAAAAACAAAACTATTTTGTTAATTTGGGGTTTTCAGAAAACAAGTATCAATTTCTTAATTTCTCTTTCTATACATTACAGAGCTTCTATAGATTTTGAACAGAGGGCTCTTTTAAGAAAACTTTAGTAAATCTCCTGCTAGGATTTTTATATCATCTGATAGTTTAAAAATCATGACTGATTCTTCACTATAACCTGTTTTATGCCTTATCTTAGTATATGGAAAGTGTTTCAAAGAATTTGAAACAACTGTAAAAGTGTGTTTAATTTGCATAACTCAAATAAGTAAATTATGAATTATTTCTGGGTTTCAGGAGCTCAAAAATAGTAAGTTTGTTCAAAGCAAAAATTAATTTGTCTCAAGATTTCTTTAGAATTCAAAATCTAGCTAGTGAGCATTTTGTTGATTAAAAAATTGATTTTTATTCTTAAAAGGAAAACATATTTCTGGCCCTTTTTTTTTTTCTTGAGTTAAGAGGACTATGTGTGTATGCAAGTACATATATGTATGTCTGTGTCTTCACAATTCTTTGACTTAAGAACTATTATCCCCAATATAAAGGTGTGGAAACTGAGGCTCCATGAGAGCAAATGACTTGCCCATTCTTGCACTGTTACTAGGGGCTGATCCAATTCTGTCTGTTAACAAAACCCAAATTATTTAATATTTTTAACATTTTATTTTGAAAAATGAAAAACCTACAGAAAAGTTTCAATAGTAGTACAATGAACATGAATATACCCTTTCTCTATTTTCACTGGTTACCATTTACAAAGCCCACATTCTTAATCATTCTACCATTTATTAGGCATATCATGATCTTAGGATATTATACAAGCTCTGTATTTAACTTCTTCATCAGTAAGTGGATATATATATATATGGCTTTAAAAATGAGGATTAAGTGAATAATGTAGTTATTCTTTCAGCAATAACTGGAGGGGACAGATAGTAAAGGACATCCTTGGTAATTACAGGTGGTCTAAGCATGGAAGAGAAGACAGTGCCTTTAGACAGAGTGATCTGGAAGGCTTCCTGGAAGAGGTGACCTCTGGCATGAAACCTGATTCATGAAAGGGAGTGAACCATGCATAGATGGGGGCAGAGTGGTCCAGCCTGCCTCGAGTGGGTGCCAAATATCTCTCTATCCACCAAGAAAAGGAGATTGTGGAGTTTCTGTTTGTAGAGATTGTTTTTAGAAGAGTGTACATGCTCTCAGATAGACTAGGTAATAATCTGAGAAAGGATAGGCCAGGGCAGTAGGATTTTTAGAGTCTGTTTTAGCTTTGTACATTTACAGCTCTTTATAGGGTGCTGCAAGCACAGATTTTTGAAAAACAATCTATATAAAAGTGCTTGGAATTCCTTGGAAATTATTTTAAGCATGTAAGTTTTAATATTGATAAACTGTATTATTAACTAATGGCAGTTACTATCCTAGAAAGTCTGATTTGTATATCTAGAGTCTCAATAACCTTTTGCTTCTAATTTAGAAACTGGACGAAGACATGCATCAAAAAATTGCAAGGGAAATGACCCTCTCAGAAACTGCTTTTATCCGAAAACTGCGCCCAACTGACAACTTTACACAAAGTAAATATGCATTTTTAAAAACCATCCTTAGATGGTACCAGAAATGCTTTTCCAGTGGGGGAATGATATTTAAGGGAAATGCCCACTTACTATTTGTATGCAGATAGGAGAGAGTGGGGGAGATTCTGATTTGGTTTTCAGTTCATCTGGGGAGCAGGTGTTGGTTAATTTGAAGGTATCAGCTTCACATCCAGTACTGGGGAGCCTTAGGATTCTTGCCTAGACCTCACTCTTCCCTGTACAACATGTTTCAGCCATTAATTCATGCTAGTGAAATATTTAGATAAGAATAAGAAAATGAAAAGTTTACGACTCACTTATACAGCAATGATTTTGTCTCTCTTTGTCTTGTTGTCCTCTGAAGGTTCCTGCTTTGGATTAAGGTGGTTTACGCCAGCAAGTGAGGTCCCTCTCTGCGGCCACGCTACCCTGGCTTCTGCAGCTGTGCTGTTTCACAAAATAAGTAATGTGATTTTTTTTTTTAAATGAATCTGTCACTTAGCAAATAGCACATATTATAAAAAAAATTCTCACACACTCTGATGAACCAAGTGACTGGTGTAAGACATTGCAATGTTTATTTCATGCAGTTCTTTATGCAGAAACAAAAACAGCAACCTTCAATAACACTTTGGCCTTTCTGAGGTTGTGCCAGGCATGTTGGAAAGCCATGGTCATTGTTCCCTAGAATGCCATTTTATTTTAAATAGGAGATCTCTCATTTCTGTGGAGGGGAGCTCACCAGGCAGAATAGGAATTGCACATGATGTGATATCAGGGCACCAAAAGGTACACTTTGCTCCCAATATATCTCCATCCACACTGAAATTCATTTCACAAGAGCTTCTTTGCTCTGATTTTTAAAGATTCGTCCTCCCCAACTATATATATTTACCTTGTGAGGAGAGGATGCAGCACCTTAATCCTACCAGTTTCCATCTTATCTGCATTAGATAAAGATCAGGGCTTCGTGGGACTGGAGCAGAGGAAAGATGCTTGGAAATGTCCTAAAAGTGGAGATGGACACAGCCATGAACAAGTGTAAGCAACAAACAGTTAAGGAAATAAACAGGTTGATGTGACATCCTATAGGGTAAGGAGTGGGAAGTGGACAAGGAGATTCTTTGGGGAGTTACTTTAGATGGGGATGGTAAGAGCAGGTGTTACAGGGCAGGTTCCCCCAGGATGTAGACTCTGGGAGACATTTACATGCCAAGAGTATTGGAGGCAGTATTCTTGGGATCAATATTGGTAAGAGAGTAAAGAAAGGACTGAACAGAGGGAGAAGTTGAACTGCAAAGTGGTAGCAATGAAAAAAGGCCTAGGCCGAATCCACAGGGAGGTCTGAAGCTGCAAAGGTCCTTTAAGCAGTGTAGTTACAAATAGAAGTAGAGGTTCAGGCCTCTATACCCTCCACTGACCAGTCTTCAATGCCCAGAAAAGCAGCTGGAGTTTAGGTAAAGTAGCTCTGTTCAGCCAAGAAAAGATCCAGAGCAGGATTCAGCTGAGACCTGTCAGTCACCAACACTCTTGGCAGCTGGGGCAGGGCTGGGTGAGACAATCAAGGTCTCAGGTTGCACCTGAGAGCAGTGCTGCCTTAAATTCTGTGCCTGGGTATTTCCTTACCTCACGTATTGCTGACCCTGAGAGAGGAGGGGCGCGTTCTGGACAACAGCACCCACTAGAGAAGGGGACCTTTAGGCTGGAGACTATGAAGTCATCTGTGCAAAGAGCTAGAGTGGGAGGAAGAGCATTCTGTGTAGGGGCAGCAGTAAATGCAAAGGTCCTGAGGGGCAGACTGAACAACCAGAGGGCTAGAGCTTTCTGAGGGAGGAGCTGATGAGATTGACAGATGGCACTGAGAGTCAGGCCAAGGCCCCTCCATAATGTAGTCCATTATGCACTTAAAAAGAATAATTTTGGTTTCAGTGGATAAGGGACAAGAATGAAGGCAAGTAAATATTCTGAAATATTGTTTAGGAACTCAATCTTGAAGAATAGGTTTTACTGAAGTTGAACTGAATGCCTTTTGAAAACCCCACATTGGTTGGTGTGAGACTGAGGTTTGGAATGTTAGCCCGCAGGTCGCCCACAGGGTGGTTTTAAGGTTAGATGAGATAAGGTATGAAAATAATGTCTTACACCAATTATAATGAGAAAGTTAAACTTTGGGTTTCAGAAAGTAAATTTTACATTCAGTGAAAGTTAATAAGGAATGTTGAATTTCTTCACCTTTGAGATGTGCTTAAGTTTTACAGAAATACTGG